ATTATTTATTATTAATATCAGTTAAGTCTCAAAAAGGTCTTTGACAGTTTGTCATATGTCGACTATTGTAGTAATAATAATGTTTCTTTATTAGCCCTATACAATTTCTTGCATTAGGAATTCGTCTTTTTCGCATACCCCAGCTTTTCTCCATGGAGACACAGACACACAAACGGGGAGAGAAGCTTGGGGTCAGAGCGCAGGGTCTGCCATTGTACGGTGCCCCTACCCAATAACGGGTTACTACCCAATAACGATAATGAACTTGGAAATTATCCATACATGCAGATTCAAGAATAATTGGACGAATTCAAGATGCCCATTAAGGACCAGCATCCCTTTCAGGATGCAGTCTTGCCTTAAGTCTTAAAGGCAGGCAGAAGAGTGGTCATGAATAGAGGAGTATTGGGAGGAGATTGAGGTTACTGCACTAGCATGTGATGAAGTTATTGGACCCATAGAAAAACAGCAAATGGAAAGTGTTAGTGAAGAATAAGGCTTTCTGAGTTTGTTTCCTTTTCTCCTCTTTTGAAGGCAGCTTTTTCTAGATCTTTTCTTTAAGGTTGGAGCCGTGTCAATTTTATATTTAAATCTCCATTTTTCCCCAAACACCATTATTGTTCAAGGGTAAAAAAAAACATCTAGATGCTGTTGAATGGCATGTTAAAAATTGCTCGCAGTCAGACAAGACATGTTCTTGATGTTGGTTAACACAACGATAATGGCAACAATTAACGAGCCAAAAGAACTTCTTTATTGCCTGATGTTTAGTGGGGGGGGAGAAAACCCACAAGCGGTGTCAATCTTTGCATCACACAATTGCCACTTTGGTTACAGAAAAGCCCAACTAGATAAGGCATCTTTTCACTCTTTCAATCGCGTCCCCTTCGTTGGGGTAACGGAACAATAGGGCCCCCCCTTTCATCCAATTCCCATCCCTGGAACGCTCCCCTGCCCTGCCTGGAACACGCGTCTTGTTCGGTTCCTACGGGTATTACTTTTCTTCTCATCTCACTCATCTTTCCCAGTTGTCTTTACAGAGTGGCCATTACAATCCTTTGTGCACTTAGGGCTAGTCCTTGCCTGGGGCTACATCTATTCCGGTGTTTGTTGGGGATAGTGAGGGAATACTTTTCTGCTCTCCTTTTCTCCAGTTGGTTAGCTAGTCCCTGCATGCTCGGCTGAGCCCTGATCTTTATCTTTACTTGCACTTACCTTCTTTGCATTTACCTCCGTTTGATTTCAGCGGCACGGAGCTGGTCTCTCTTTCCAGTGTTGCTGAGCGCAGATGCGTGCCGTGCTTTTAACCGCGGTGCCAAAATGTAAATACTGTGCTCAGAATTCCGGGTATTGGGATACCGCAAAATGTAATTAAGCATGCAGCCACACCAAGGCATTTAATGCAGGACGCAAAGTAGGGGATAATGAGCAAGCTTGCTTTTACACTTTCTCCCAAACTTACTTCTAAGTAATGCATTTCTTATAAACACTTCTAGGAATCTCCTGTGAAAATGGTTCAGTCCTACTGAAATCACATTAAGTATTTCTTAAGCTTAGAGCACTTGGGGGGGGAGGTAGATATTAAGATTCAGTTTAGACAGCTGAAAGTAAATGTTTAAACTATTTTTTTAGAAGTTTCGTAGAGAGGAGAACACCAGCTGATTTTCTTGATGTAACATCCAATGTACCCAAAATGTCAATAATAATACATCAGCAATCTCTTTTATGGTATTATTTTGTCCATCTTGAGTCTGCTAGAAGCCACTAAACCCTCTTGAGGTAATTTCTTTTACCAACCATCCATTTACAGTACCCATTAGTGAAAAGCCACTTTTTCTGCTTTGTGGGGAATTGGAGTCCATCCCAGAAACACAGGGCACAAGCCAGGACTAAATTCATTGCATCTCAAAACAGTGTGTACATATAAAGGCATCCATCCATATTCTGACCTCTTCATCCACTTCAGGGGCACAGGGAGAGCCGGAGCCTATCTTGGCACATGGTGGGGTACACTGTGGACCGGTCCATTCCAGTGCATCACAGACCAATTTTTCCTAGAAGCCAATTACCCCACCAATGTGTTTTTTGACTGAGAGATGAAACACAGGGAGGAAACCCACTCAACGTGCAAACGTCATACAGACAGCACCACTGGAATTGAACCCAGGGTCCAGTGCTTTGTACACACAGAGGCAATCTAGAAAACACATCATCTTTAGGATATTGCAAGAAAATGGAACACCTAGAGAAGTCCCTTGCCAGCACTGGCAGAACATGCAAACTCCTTACGGATAGATGTAAAATGCCGGTACTGAACACAGGGCACTGGGGCTGTATGGCAGTAGTGCCAACCTTCCACTGACTAATCTTTTGGGAATAAGCCTGTTTGATACTACAATATATATTGAGACTGACAGATTATGGTTTTGCACTTCTCTTACTGTATATAAACCAGCTGTCCCAGTGGAGCTCTTTTATTTGCTTAGTGTAGGTTGGTGGAGGGGGTGACTTGGGGGTCTGCATGATGTGTTGAGGGCTTATACGTTCATATGTGGTGTAAGTGTGTAACCTTACTATGTTGTCGCAGTGATCTGTCTAATGTGTTTTACTCATAACTGTTCATTGAGAACTTTCATAAGTCTTACCACGTGAATACCATCAACGGATTACTGCACAGGAAACTAGGGTTTTCCATAACATACGCCAAGCCCTGGTACATTAAAGGGATAAGTGCTGTAAACTTCAATGAGAGGAGGTTTTTACTATATGGGTCATGGATTACAGTTAGTCATGACCTCCCTTCAAAGTTTATTGAACACTGATATGTTCTTTTCAAGGGAATTTATTTTAAGACTCTTACTCACCACTCATCAGCTGCACCATACTCCCAGCACCATACAGCCTGCACAGTGTCACATTACAAGAAGACGTAACGTAGCTTAGAGATGATCTTTGGTGGGGGGTTTGTTTTTAAAGTGAAGGAGGCTTCATGAAGTTCTGACTTAGCCTGTCAATTTGTGAAAGAATCCAGGCTCTTGCCTCATAGTGGCTGAGATTAACAGAGGAAAAGGGAAAGTGCGGATACGGAAACAACAATGATTGTTACAGATAACTGGAATAAAGGGGGTGTATGCAATGTGACACTTTAGTAGTAACACAGAGGATATTAAACCTATCCTTTAGCCAACCAGTAGTTAATGGAACAGAGTAACAGGCACACAATGGAGTCTCTGACACAAGACCTGTATCTTCTGAAGTTCATTCCACTGGGCTATTGAGGCCTGGGTAAACAGAGCTACTGTGGTCCAATTTCTTCAGAGTACTTGTGTGATAAACACAGTAGGACGGGAATGGATAAATATTCTTTAGGTTATGAAGGACATCATTTCCAGAACTTTCCACTTGATTAATCTGAGACATAAAAGAAAATTAAAGATCTAAAATAGTTCCTAGGTTTAATTACTTAAGGTTAATGGATTAATACCATTCATTTTCAAACACCCTACCTATCTCTCATGCATCAGTACCAATCCTAGCACCACTGTTTCAGAAGGATTTAGTGTCAGTGGGTTTTGATCATGCTGGGAAATCACCAGATTCATAAATTATTCCAGTATGGCCCTCACTCTAACCCAGACTCTCCCAAGAGATGCACATCTGATCTCTGTCATCTTTCATGCAGATGACATTGAAGTCCACACAACTAA